CTCTTGACTTGGGCTCAGGTGGCGATCTCACAGCGTGTGGGTTCCAACCCCGCATCCGGTTCTGCGCTGACAGCACGGAGCCTGCTCAGGATTCTCTCTCTTTCCCTCTCTCTCTGCCCTTCCCCTGCTCATGTGCTCTTTTTCTCTCTCTCTCAAAATAAAGAAATAAACTTAAAAAAAAGCCAGGTCACGTCCTACCTTTATCACAGTGGCCTCCTTCCGACCCTGACTCTTCAGCGGCTGAGAGGCTGAGTATTACCTAGCGCCGTCTGGCTGGCTCTGCTCTCTTGCTTCTCTTCAGACACGCCAGGCACACTCCCACCTCAGGGCCTTTCCTCTGGCCGTGCCCCCCACCTGCAAACCACTCACTCCCCAGAACAAGTGCCGCTGTGGACACTTACACGGCCCACGGAAACCCGTGTGTGTCGGCCGTGCTCCACATTCCGCATGCGTGTTTGAGTTTGGACCAAGGCCCCCGCTCTCTGTTATCCTTTCGTTTGTTGATGAATAGGAGAGTGAACGTCAGGAGCGACCCTGCGGCATTTCCCATTTCCCCATTTCCTAGCATTCTGCGTGCTCATCCCAGTGCCCTGACAGGCGAGAGTTTGCAGGCCGCTTGGAAGTTCTGGCTGTATTCATCACGTTGCTGAGATACTCTTTTCCAGCAAGGGGATTTGTGAAGCTCCCCAAGCAAGTGATGTGGTTTGACCGTAAGTCCATGAAAATGTCAGCTCATTGATTTGCTTCTCTTGCAAGGCCAGTGATAGTCTTGTGGTCCCATCTGTCAGTTCTGGAAAACTCTCCGTGTTCTCTGGCTTTGTTGATGGCCTGGTCATTGTCCTATGCCTCATCCTGCCAGAACTGATAAAATGATATCATTAATAAAGCGTGTGAAACACAAATCCAGAGTGTGGGACATTCTAAAAGAGAGCTCACTCGAACTTCTCAAAATCGTGAATGCCATGGGAGACCAAAAGAAAAAAAAAAAGAGGGGAGGGTGTCCATTCTATTATTGTTCTAAATTCTCGAAACGGAGGAGACCCCACTGTCCATTTGGGTTGGGTCTGACTTAGACGGAGAGGAACAAATAGCTTGAAAGGACTTGTTTTTGAAAACTGAAATTGGGAAATTTGCACGTGGACTGTGATCGGGTCTTAGGCTTGAGGTCCACGTTACATTTCTTAGGTGTGATAACGGCATCGTGATTCTGGGGGAGAGTGTCTTTGTTTTTAGGAGGCACAGGCTGAAATGTTGAGGGCTAAGCTGAATGCTGCTTGCAACTCGGGAGTGATTCACAAAAATGTGAGTGTGTGGGTGGACCAGTGAGAGAGGAAGCAAACGCAGCTTATGTGAACAGTTAGCGAATCTAGGTGAAGGGCATGTGTGTGTTTGTTGTACTATTGTTTAAACCTTTCTGGACCTTTGAAATTTTTCAACACAGAAGCTTAAGAAAGTGGCAAGAGAGACATGGAGCCCTTGAAAATCATTTAATTAACGAGGAGTGGCATGCTTAGGGAAGGGGCCTTGAATTCAGGAAAAAAAGCTGAGTTGGAATCCCAGCTGTGCGCCCCGGGGCCAAGTAGTTAACCTCTCTGAACTGTTCTTCCTCTTTGTAAAGTGGGGATGATAAACTGCGTCAGGGCTGCTCTGCAGATTCAAAGAGAGAATCCCTCAGGAATACGAAAACCGTCCTTCGCATTCGTCAGCTGGACAGCACACGGGGTGTGGAACGACTTTTCTTTTGAGAATGTTCTCTGTGGGAGTGCTGACATACCAGAGCCTCATGACTGCTTCTGTCCATGGGATACATTGAAAAGCAGAGGTGGTCACACAGGCGCGTTGATTAGACGATGGTTTCTTGGAAGGATGACTTTTAGGAAAGTGGGTGCTGGCTGATTTGGCAAAGAACTGAAACGTGCAGGGGAGGCCTGATTCAGACTCAGATGGCTCCTTGGGGGCAAGTCAGTGCAAGCGTTGGTGCCTGGAGCTCAGGAGAACTGGCTTGTTCGGCAGCGACGCTGAAGCGGACTGATGTGGAATCAGAGGCACGTGTGGATGTGGCCTTCGAAGTCCCATCCGGAGCTGAGTGTGGTCTGTGGCTCTTCAGCCTGCACCCCCACTGCTCTGTGTCTCTGAAAGGTCTATAGTGCGGCAGAGCGCCCCAGTGGGCACCCCACCTGGGCGTCACCTGACCTGCGGACTGGGACCACTCTCCACCCAGCTCCAACCCCACCCCACGGTCCCAGGGTCACCAGCCCCCTTGCCTCTGCCCTGACTGAAGTTTCTCTGTCCCTAGTGCCTCGTGCTGGGCCTGGCACACAGTAGGCGCTCTGAGAAGGCTTGCGGGTTTGAACTGATCAGAGCCTTAGCAGTGGCTTTAATTATTCGTAAATGCTTAAGGCACATTCATTAACACGAACGTGGCATTTCTGAATGTTGTCTTGAGCAATTTGAGGCAGTTGGATTGCAAGTTAAGAACCCTGCATTTGAACCGTCCTGACCATGCGTTTGAATAGCCAGGGCCCCAGTGCAGATCGCCCTCCCCACCCCCCCACCCCCCACAGGAGAAATATACCAAGAATCTTAAACTGACCTTGGAGGTTTCTAAAAATGCATATTGTGTTAATGTCAATAGTTGTGCCAGCCTACGCCATGTTACCTAAGAAGTAAAACACTGTGTTTCCGCCGCCCGCCTTGCCCCTCTTTGATACTAGAACCCCGAACTCGATTGCCCAGAAAAAAGCGTGCTTGAATTAACCCACCAATTCTCTCAGGGAACAGAAAACGTGGATTAACAGCATTTCCCACCCCCTCTATGAATCAGGCTGCTTCTCCGTGTGCTTGATGAATAATGTTGCTGGCCCCTTTTCAGAAATGAAGTAGAAATATGGAGCAGTGAAATTTGTATCTTATAAAGTGGCTGGAAATGTGGTTATAATACAGCTGTCAGTTTTGTTCAAGTGGAAAATTTTAAAGTGAACCCAATTGCAGCATTATTTGGTTCTCTCAAAGCAGGGTGATGTAGCCGTTTCCTGTGTATTGATTATTTGATTGGTACCTGTCTGCTGGACTAATTTTTTTTCTTCTCAGTAGCGCTCATTGATGTGGTTTAATGTATATTCCTGTAATCTTTCCCTGTTTTATAAACTTACAATGATAATTGAGCTACATTAGAGAGCCGTGTCCTGCTGAAATCACAAGGTCACCTAATGACGGTGCCCTCTGTTGTCGGTTGTGCAGTCAGTAGTCCCCAGGATTGTTCTTCGGAAAAAGACAGAACTTGCAATTTTTTTTCCCCCTCTAGGAAGCAGAATTTCTAAATTCCACTCTCTGCATTGGGGAAATGAGGCGTTCTGAGTAAAAGAGACTGGTTTTGAGCTTTTTCCTTCCTTGCCTTTGAAAATCGTCATTTCTGCTGAAGACACTCCACGATGCAAGTGTTTTTCCCCCACATCCCAGTCCTTCCTGTGTGTTTGCAAACGGGGCCACGGTTTTGTTCCTCGGATCAGAGGGGACCTGCTGGCCTAGATTTGCTCAAGGAGCGCTGTCTTCTGAGGCACGGCTCGGCCATTGGGAAGTGGACGGATTTCGGACACGGCTCTCTTCCAGGGCGGCCCCGGCATTCTCAGGCTCTGTGACCCAGGCGTGTCCCCCTAACCTTGGATCTCTCTGTCTGTACGTCACGGGGCCGTCGGGAGGGAGGGATGCTGCCTGCTGAGCAAGTGTCTGGTGCGACCTGATAGGGCCCGGCCAGCAAAGGCCAGCAGAGAAGCTACTCCGACTTGACCGTCTTCCCCAGTCAATAAATGGGAATTCCATCTGCGTAGTCACTCAGGCCAGAAGCCTTGGAGTATCCTGTCTTCTCTCTTTTTCTCACCCCTGCGACCACGCCCTCTGCCAGTCCTGCCAGTTCAGGCATCAGGTAGACCCACAATCTGGCCCCTGCTCACCACGTTCCAGGCCTGCACCCTGGTCCAGGCCCTGGACGCTGTTCTCTGTCTGGTTTGCCGGCTTTCTCCCCTGCCCTTCTCCACCAACAAGAGCCCAGGGCATCCTTTCAGAGTGGCCGTCGGAACCCTCCAGAGCCCCCCTCCAGAGCCCTGCCCGTGGCCTACAGGTGCACCTCCGCCCCGTGCCCCCGTCTCTCGCCCCT